TTAGGGTTTTGCACAGAATTAAACCAAACAACATGAATCAAACATGCACTTTATTTATTTCCACTAAATAACAAAAGTACATCAAATCGGATTGAAGCTAAGGGCATACAAAACTATCTAACACAATGCTTATCATGCATTGCTGGAGCTTAGTCATCATAATTAGGATATCGATTTTGAATACGGTGAGTGTAAAGTGGCAGTATAATTTGAGTCTCATTTCTTTACAGAGCCAAACTAAGGATAAGTGGTCTGCTCATGCAGAGTAATTGACAATTGCACAGTACTGATTGGTGACCAAATAGCACATGGCCTCACTATTTTTGTAGTTCAAACTTCAAAGTACAACACTTTGTTGAGGAAGTTATTATTATTGTTACTGGTAAGATACTAAGATCATCAAATCTTCCATAGGGGGGCCTATTTTCTCAATGCAAGGATCGTTGTGCAAACTTGATACCAAAATGGGTCCTAGACTCTATAAGTTCTATGTAAAAATTGTTGGAAGGGTTAGAATCCATCATATGGATGGCCAAACCATGTTAGATGGCTGGGCAAATTTTCAAAATTTTCTAATCCTTTTAGGAATTGAATTCGTTATATTTTGAAAAACTGCATTCTTTAGGATCAGTCTTGCATTGAACTAGACTATATTGAAATCAAACAAAAAGAGAGATTTGTACCTGATATGGATACTATAAACGCAGATCCCAAGGTAGAAAGTTCACACCCAAATCAATCCTAAAATCAGCCTCCACTAAAGATGATGTAGTATATAAGTGAAGTTAATTCAGTAATATAGTTTTTAGTAAAACTAAGATCCAACTACTTTGATTGAAGTGAGGATGATGAGCCTAATATTCCTTGAAATTTTCTTGCAAAAATCAAAGAAAAAATTATCTAAATCAGTCTTAGATAGCTAATGTCGAACTAGAAAAAAACTGGGAGACAAAAGAGTGTAAAGATAACCAAAAACTGCAAAAATAAAAAACTGTCTTGGACTAGTTCGCCCTCTCCTCTTTTATAATCTCTTATGGAGCTATCTCCTAATCTAATTATGAAATAATCCAGATCTAAATTAGATCTGGACTTTAATTAGAGATATGCCTTATATCTTCTTATAAGATTAGGTGCTCCATACCTAGATCCAAACCCATATTCGCCCCATGGCAGATGACAACTTAAGTTGTCATGTGGCAGTTTAATTAATCATATTAATTATGGGCCTTAGGCCTGTCAGTTATAAGGCTCACGATCAAAGGGTGTTGCATGGCTAACTTAGGCCTGATTTGTATGGTGTGGAATCCCATAATGAGCTCACGTAAGTCCACGAGTTTGGTTCAACCTCTGTGAAAAGGCTTGGCCGAATTCACTGTTAAACGCAGAAACCCCTAAGCACATCACTATGGGCTCAATATGGGCCCAACTTTACACTTAAATGATCATTGAATTCAGCCATCCTAGGAAGATTCAAGAATAATGGACTTAAGTAAGATAAACCACATTAGGTAATCAACCTTGTAATGGTCTCTTACACTTAAGCTCTTGGCCCATAATGATCAAATACTATCCAACAGGGAATGACCTCTCCCCTGGCTACAAAGTGTAGTGTCACACTCTCTACTTGGATGGATCCCAGGAATTAAAACCTTTTGCATACATTTTTCATAAAACATTAATATATATTTTGCAAAATATATTATATTTTGCAAGTAAATATAATAAATATATTATATTTATTATATTATATATATAATAAATATATTTTGCAAAATCAGATTTCAAACACAGTTGAAATTCACTATCGGAAGTTTAGGTTTCCATCAGAGAGAGTGTAAACCCTATCGTTCACTTTGTCTGACAAAGGGGCCGATCCAATCATTATGATCACCGACTTAGGTGAATTCGCATACTGCCCCAACATACTCAAGTTTTGACCCTTAATAGATCTCACTAATTGGCATATCAAAGACAGCCCAATCAAATACCTAGTGTAGTACCATAATCAAGTCTAGGGGTTATGTATAACTTTTCAGTTTTGCCAATCAATCTCCAAAGTCCAAGGCATAACTAGAAAATGGTGTAGGTTCAGTGTTTCATCCAAACACACACTGCATGTGCTTTGGTTCTAACCCTAGTAGCTAAGACAAACTGCCACAACTTCTTTGACAGCACATTAGTGTTAGTTTCGATAGGATAAACTCCCCAAATCTATCCAATTGCTGAGAACATTCTAAACTAACAGAAGTCTCGTAAGTGTCCAGTTTAAGGGGTAATTACATAGAAACATACCAATGCCAACATGAAACAATAATGTACTTTCATTCATTTACAATAAATGTATATGTATATCAATCTTATTGGATTTAAGGGCATATACACTGTCTAATAGATATATCTTTTAACTATGCACATAGAAGAGAGGGCTTTTAATGAAACGAGCTTATGAACAGAAATAATAAAAGATAATTTCTTTATTTAACTTAGAAAGTAAAGAGTAAAATCGACATGCAAATAACCAGATGAAGGGTGAAAGGGGGCAGTCTGGATGAGTTGGAGACAAAATCATGCACATCAGGCTAGGCTACCTATCAGGAGTGGACACACCATTGTTTACTATGACCCCATCTTTACTGAGCACTGTGATGGGTTGTCGAAGCCTTCAAAATTAGTACTAGTCCCACAACAAAATATTTGTAGTAAAAGTGGTACAAGAAAGCAATAATCTCTCAGTCGAATGAATAATATAATTGAGTGAGAAAATTAAAAAACTAAAATTAAAAGAACAAGAAAGCAATAGAAAATTCAACTAACAAGAAGTAACCAGTCTTACCGAATTCTGGTTCAAGGGTTCGATTTAGTCAATTGGCCATCGATTATAGGTAAACTTCAGTGGTCTTGCAATTCAAGCATTTAACCTTAGATTTATTAGGATAGCCATAATAAACCTTGCGTTTTCCTAAATTAGCTGACCAAACCCAGCATTCGATCAACACTTATCACTAATCGACTGGGTACGATAGCGTTCCATATCAACTAATGATAGCATCAAGCTTTGTGAAAATAGTTAAACCAAAATAACAATAATTGAGATAGCTGCAATT